CAATTGATATATATAGCACCACCGATTTATCCTTACCAAATTTTGATTTGTAGTGACAAATGGTCAACTCACTTGAGTTTCCAACCAATCAACCAAGTTCTCAAGTAGTCATTAATGTGTCTGAAGTGCTAAAGAAAACAAGTATTACTGCAGAATCCGTAACGGGTTTCTATAATATTTATGTTTATATAAACCCTATTCAACTTCTGGTCAAGCATAAAGAAAAACCCACTTGGCTTACATATATATTGATAGATATATATGTGATATTAAACTTTGCTAGCGTATGACAATGACGTTCCATAGTGTCTGTGATGTTGTTCTCTCAATTGATCACTCTGATCAGTTCACATTAGCAGACTATTCATATCACACTTAAAAAAAACATATGAACCGAGCTAGGGAAACCTGATAACATTGTAGTTGGCAAGTAACATCGTAGTTCATCAGCAACAAATTCTTCACTAAATGTCTTCCACATGGAAGCAAGGATAATTTCAAGTAATCCGATGTGTTTACAAAAAAAACTAACTTAATTTGATGCTTTTATTGCAACATCACGGGCATTTAATTAATTTTAACACACAAAGACACGCTAATTAAGAAAATTTAGAAAGAGCACACTACTGATGTCACTGTTTGGACCCATTACTTAAATAGTTCAGGAAATATAGGGTTAGATTAATGCCTAATAAAACTAAACTAAGTGGGCTATAATCTCCATGTAATTGTCTCATTTTAAGAGAATAAACTCATAGTTTATGTGATTAAATTAATGTTAACCCCTTGTGGTCCTGACCTGAGGAGCATCAGTGGGGGAGTTTTCTATAGAAAAAAGACAATACTCTATTATCATGTAATTGAAGCCCTTCAAGTTAGAGATCAAATGAATGGTTGTTGACGTATTTGTTCTCTTGATTATTTGTTTAGTGATTTAATTGTATGGTTTTCAATTGGAGGTTCAGTGGTAGAGTGGCTGCAATAATTTGGAACATCTATTATCCCCTCATTTCACAAGTAGAGATGATAATCGCTAATGATTGGTTGATGTAGCTAGACATAAACAAAGGACTCTAAAATTGCGTGTGTGATATGAAATTTTATGGGATCTAAACTATTTTGCAATGAAAGGGTTCAACAACCCGTTTGAATTGAGAGATTTGTTGGCCCATAATGCTACAGTTATCATCTTTTTATATTATATTCAATTTATCATCTAATTTGATATATTCACAACGGCTGGATATTGGTGGGAGTTGCATGAGACCATTAAGCCAAGTATTCTGAATTTGTCATATCAAATGACAAACTAAATGTTGTATAAAAAGATGATAAGCATAACAATATTGTTTGAAAGAAAAGAAAAGAAAAGAGTCACTCCTGTCAATCACCAAATTTGATAGCTTATTGGGAGTGAAATTGAGATTGTTTTCTTTTAAAACTCACCTTTTGAATCTCTCCAAAATTGAAAAAAATAATAAAATAATAAAATTGGAGAGAAATGAATGGAATTAGTAATTACTAGTTTCACTCTTATGTTTTTATTGATAAGTTGTTTCTATGTTTGCCTATGTTATATTATAAAAGCAATCTTTTCTTTTTTTACCATCTTGTTTATCAATTCCCAAACAAGAATAGATAATAATCCACTATTTTTTCTTTATTTTTCTCATAAATTATCCAAACAAAAAAGAGATATACCGCTAGCATTTCTTTACTTTTCTTTTCTCTCCCACGTAATTATATCTTTTCTAATTTTCTCTTCCAAGTTTGTCAAAAGGACTAATGTTATCCAACAAAAAAGTGAATAGCAATCATTGGAACATCAAGCATTTTTAACATTTTCTAGTTGTTTCTTCAATATTTTGTTAATTGTAATGGGTGACGATTAAATCACATACCATTAGTGTAGTCTAGGTTAGAAACACCATCTTTGTGATGATGTTAAGGCAATGAAATAAAAATCAATCCAAATGGGATCGGTGTTGACAGATATTTGAAGTCTAGAATTATTTATTTTGTTGAATGTAAAAAATTATAAGAGATACTTTTTATTTAAATGCATTTTGTTCAAAATCATTATGGAATTTCTTAAACTAAGTGATTTTAATCTTTTGCTTTGTTGTTTCATTTTTCTTCAAGTTGTGTATATCATTTTTGTTGTCTCAGTAGGGATAAACTTAATTCTTCAACTAATACATAAAAGGATACTGTTATACTACAATCCTCTGATTTTAAAATTTGTAGGCAACCCAAGAAATTCTTTCTTCCATGCATTTTTTAGTTAAATAAAGTTTTTTTTTTTTTTTCCTAAAAACTTTCAGAGGGTACAAAATTGATTTCTATATTTTGGTTTAGTTCCTTTTGTGAAGGTGATATTTACCTCAACTATGGTTAAATGGTTACACAACCACTGGTAGTTGATGACTAGCAGTATAATATTTCTAGCAGAGTTAATTGAAAACTTTTAAACTATGTTCCTTAGGTTGCGTTTGGTAAAATTTTGTAAATATGATTTGAAAGTACGAGTTATATTTTGAGTTTGTGAGTTGTGGAATTATGATTTGACTGTAGAAAATTTGTTTGGTTATGGTTTTTGAATAGATTGTTGAATTGAGTTTTGAATTGAGTATGAAATTGAGTTTTGAAAGTTTGATTTGACATGTGAAGTAAGAAAATTTGCTTAGTTATAAGTTTTAGAAAGAATTTTCAAAACTTAATTCAAATTGTTATAACTCTAACAAAACACACTACTTTCACACTATTGAAAATTCTGATCAACACTCATAGCCAAACTCTTTTTAAAATTCAATTAAAAAAATTATTATTAACAGAAAATAACATTAATTAATTTTTTAATTGAAAATACTACAAAGGAAATAATTTTTTTTAAAACAAATATTCAAAAAATTTAAATCATAAATATTTAAATAATATAAAAAATTTAATAAGTAAAAAATTAAAATAAATATTCAAAAAATTTAAATCGTAAAAATTTAAATAATTTAAAATTTATATTTAAATTTAAGAACAACTCTGCACTCAAATCGTAACCAAACACATAAAACAAAACTCAATTAAGAAATTATTTTTAAAACCATAACCAAATACATAACTCGAAACTCCATACTATTTTCACAACTCTGCACTCAAATCGTAATCATATACATAACAAAAAAATTAAAATATTTAAAAAATATTTTTATAAAAATAGATTTTGAATTTATTTTTATAAAATATTTTAAATTTAAAAAATTAAAATCGTAATATTTTGAAATTAAAATATTTAAAAATATTCAAAAAATTAAAAAATCGTAACATGTTTAAATATTAAAATATTTAAAATCTTAACAAAATTAAAATATTTTAAAAATATTTAAAAAATTAAAATATTGATTTGAATTGAGTTTTGAAAATAGTTTTGAATTGTGTGTTTGGTTATGATTTTTGAAAAGTAATGATTATGTTTTGAATTGAGTTTTGAGAAATGAGTGTAGAATATATGATTTGAAAACTCAAAACAAGGGATTGAACTATAATTTGAGAGGCTTATCAAAACGGAGCCGTAAAATTTCCGTTCTACATACATAAAACAAATACAGAAAGTATAAAAAAATGAATATGTTACAAGATGGAAGAGCACATTTGGAGAAATACTGAGGATACCAGCGAACAGGAACATTTTTTATGGGTACACTTTCTATGTTTTGTTTATAATTTAATTTTATGAATGTAAACCAAGTGTTCCATTAATTTCATTTCCTAACAATATCCTCCAGTCTAATAGATAAAATTAGGCCGTCTGTTGCCGAGTAGTTAGTATCCAATAAAGAGTCTTAATTTATATTTATAGTTAATGATTTACTGAACTTTTTCATGGATTGTTGTTGCCTATAACTAAAATTCATGAATTGAATATATAATAAACAGCAATGCTCTATCTCTATGTCTCGGTTTGGGAATTTTTTTTTTATAGAATAATATCCAATTAAGAGTCTTAACTATGGTTTACAGTTAATGATTTATTAAATTTAGTTGTCAGATAAGATTCGACTTCTCTTCAATGGATTACATAAACTGAGTTCACAGTTTTCGTTTTGAATTATCATGGAGCTTGAAATTGGCATTTCAATGTTCACATTTTATGGTTTTGTTCCTAAGGGCATTAAAAAAAAAAAAAAAAGAAAAAAAAAAAAAAAAACAAAAAAAAAAAAAAAAAAAAAGTGGAACTAATGCAGAAAATTTATTTAGAAAACTGTTTTCGGAATTTTTTTTGGGGAAAAACAAACTCTTTTTTAGTAAACACTTTATTTTGTTTTATGAATGTTTCCACAAAATGTTTTCACAATAAAATAAAACAATACAGAATGATAGGCATTTTGAAACTTTTCATTGTTTTTATTTTCAAAAACATTAAAAACTGCATGTTTGGTAATGTTACCAATTTTCTATTTTTTTTTTTTATACCAAAAACAAGAATTATATATAATTTTTTTTTTCAATAAAACAAATAACATATTTAGTACAAATGTTTTCAAAACAAATAAAAGAAAAAAAAATGAAAATTGAGTCGCTAGAGGGGAGAGCGGGGAGTAGCTGGAAAGGGTTGTCGAATGAGGGAAAGGGGATTGCTTGAGGGTTTTCAGAGGAGGAGGGGGCAGTCAAAGGGGGTGCAGAAAAGGAAGATGTGTTCAGAGAAGGGTGGCAAATAAAAAGTCACTCTCATATTATGTTTGGATCTTGAATTTATCAAAAGAAAGAAAAGTAGAAGGGAAATAATTGTTAACCAAAATCATCTTACTACAATCGTGTTCGAAATTTATTTCAAAGCGACCTACATTCTCCTCCCATGTGGCTTGCACTTTCCTATAGAATCCAGCCCAATCTCAAAACTGTTTTATTCTAGTACAGTGAGTGTGATTAATGAAGATAGTTATTATTATTATTATTACTATCATCATCACAATGTATACATTAATTAGGAAAGTTAAGCTCCATCATTTGTGAAAGCACTGGTTTTAAATAATGCTTCAAGTGTAAAAAAGAAGTATGTTCTTTGTTTTGCCTTAATCAGTACAGAAGAGGATATGGACTCGAGTCAAACAAACGTTGCAGCAGAACAATTTAAGACCTAATTTAGCTCACTTTGTTGGTAACAATCTAAAACTTTTGTCTGTAACATAAGAAACTTCACATCTCGATTCTAGAATTACCTAATTTAATATTTAGCTCACTTCAACCACTGCAAATTCACCAAAAAAAAAAAAAAAAAGAAGTTGAAAGCAACCAACAAGAAAGAACACACCTCTAATAGATCACATTTCTCTTTTTCCAGATTGCTGCCAAACTCTTCCTCAACAGGAAGAATGGGCTAACATTCTGCTCCACATATGTGCAAAAGAAAATTGTTTCAATCCTCCTTTTCTGGCTTGGTACGTGATCACGAACCTGGTAGTTCAAGTTTCTGACTGCTAAACGATCCTTCTCATCGGTTTAGTGAGTTGTGGATGGTTTTCGCCGCTGCTATGGCAGAATCTCCCCTCTTAATGACACTCTCAAGCTCCCCAACCTTCTCCGACAGCAATCCAACATGAGAGTTGGTTGACTGCACCAACTTGTTTGCAGTTTCCAGAGCAGTGCACAACTGAGACCCAAAACAAAGAGGGCAATCCACGGTCAAAATAATTGAATTACCTTTCCACATGCTGACACAAAGATCTAGACAGTATCAGACAATGATGATTGTGAATTTAAGAAACAAAAACTCATTTAAGTGAGTCCGTGAAAGAATCATTGAAGATTTATCTTCAACACTAATGTCAGAAAGTATCGTCTGCAAAAGAACTTTAGGAGCATCCCAAGATTTTCAAAAAAATTTAAAGCAAATAAGCAAGAGCCTGTTTATAAAACACCAAATTAGAATTGACTGATATACTGTATCAGAATATAGTTTTGTTTGCTTCAACTTAAAAAGGTTGCTTATGGATTTTTTTTTTTTTTTTTTTTAAATTTTGGGGTGTTGTACTAGACCATTTGTTATACCTTTTGCTTACAATTTATGCAGTAAAAATAGTTTAAGAAAGGTAAAAAAAAAAATTATTCTGAAACTAGGGGACGAATTCATTTAGATTCTGCTTATAGAGATTGTCAACTTTCAGTTTAGAATAAACTGCAGCAAACAGGCTCCAGCACATAAAAGTGAAAGAATCTGAAATCATCCATCGATATCCTCCAAAACAGATCATCCATTACCTTAAGTGTTAAAGCTGTCCATGAGTGGTCCGTACCAGCAAGTGCCTCATTCAGGTGGTCATAGTTTTCCTAAAGCAAGATTCAAGGAGTTAGAAGCTCTGTCTTAAACAAAAGTATAATTATAGTTTTAAATTAAGATCAAAAGAAAACTGCATCCATAACATGATATCCTACAGGAGAAGAGAGAGGGAGAGGGATGGAGAGTAGGAACTCTTCTTTTCTGAACAATAAGTAGCAATGTAAACATTGCTACAAGAACCATTAAGCAGCAAAATGATCTCCACTGACAATATTACAAACAACTTTACAGAATCTGCTGCACTGTTGTGCGTGAATTCTCCAATATAGCATCTAATGGATTCAAAATTTAGATCTACAAATGGAATAGGTATCCATTATTCATAATAATGCAGTCATCTGAAACCACACATAAGCAGTAGGGGTGCTCGCGGATTGGTTTTTTACGGTTCGGTTTGCGGTTTGGACTGGCCCACATGTCTATGGTTTGGGAAAAATTGAACCCACAACCGCCCGCAGTGCAGATAGCGGTTTGTGCAAATAGGGTTCGCGGCTGTGCGATCGCTTTGCGGATTGGGCTTGTCCTTTAAAATTTTATTTTTGGGCAGGTTTTTTCTCATTTTTTAAATATTTGTTTTGGGGCTCTTCCTCCCATTTTTAAAATATTATTTTGGGCCATAAAATCACATATTTCTCATCATGAAATCATTATTTTCTAAATAATTTATCCCAAATAAATTACAACCTATCTATCCAATTTACTTCCAGAAGAAAACAAACCATAAGCACAAGCTAAGATCAGTCAATTGACTCATATTCACTTTGCAAAAAAAGTATATGCTAAACAATATATACAGATGCGGATGGCTAAGGGCAGGTGCCGGGTTGCAACTTGCAAAATAGGAAAATCTTAACCCGCATCCGACCCTAACGATTATGCGAAACAGCCCAAATAGGTGCAGGACGTTTAGGTTGGGCAATTTTTGCGGGTCGGATAACCCTATGCCCAGCTTTAATAAGTAGTAATACCTATAATACAGATTGTTTTTCTCCATGTTATGGAAATGAAATGCACGGTAAATAGATCATTGTAAGGTAGGCATATATAAATCTTACAGTTTTGCTACATAAAAGGGTAGATTTAGTTTTAAAATTAAATTATTCATGTTATACGATATCATCATCTATTTACTTCCTGAATTTATTATGCCAGAATTATGAAGCACGGATATGGATACGGACACACATACGAATACGGACACGTACACGTACACGTACACGAGACATGACAATTTCTAAAAAGTGGGACACGGACACGAACACAGACATGGCAGGGGACATGACAAATTTTTTAATTTTTTTATAAATATTTTTATTGTAATACACATTAATTATTTTATTTATTTATTTATTATATTTTTTAAATAATGTGTTCCAATTAATTTTTTTATTTTATTTTACATACATGTGTTTATTTATTTTTTATTAACATGTATAAGTATATATTATCTTATAATATGTATTATATATTATCTTATAAGTATATTATATGTTATATAATAACTATTATATAATATATAATAATAGTTATATATATATATATATGAATCAAGAAGATAAAGACAAGACGACAAAGAGAGGGAGAGGGGGACAAAAGCGAGAGAGAAAGCAATCGATCGCAATCGTGAGGGGGAGAGAGAGAGAGAGAGAGCGCTTTGAGAAGTCGAAGGGCTCTGGATCGTGTAAGTCGAAGGGGGCTATAGCCAGTCGAAGTGGATTAGATTGTCGAAGTCGAAGTCGAAGGGCTATCGCTAGTCGAAATGGACTGGATGGAGGTCGATTGGCTCGAGATCGAAGTCATGAAAGAGCAAGAGAGAGAGCAAGGCTTACGGTGGAAGTCGTCCAAATTGAAGTCGCCAACCAAGTTTGTACTTATTTTCTCCTTTGTTTACTCTTCTCGCCGACCGTGTCCCATGGCGTGTCCAAATTTGGACACGCATGTCCCCATCGTGTCTCCGCCGTGTCCCTTGCAAAAAAATAAATCATATTAAGGGGACGTGTCCCCGGCGTGTCCCCATATCCGACACTACCACGGCTTCTATTTTTGCGTGTCCACGCTTCATAGTGCCAGAGTTATCATGTAACATATAAAAAAGCTCTCCCTAAAAATGAGGTGATCCAACCGCACATTCCAATACAGCTATCTTGTTATGACGACTTCACTCCAGTCACTAGCGCTGCCTTTAGCATCCCCCTCCTTGCGGTAAAGGTAATGACTTTGGCTAAGTGAATCCTAAAGTATGTTTAGTCCAAGATTCACATTCCTCCTCTCCTCCATCTACTAAAAGAAAAAAGAGGGAAAAAAATTTCGACTAAAGAATTGAAACTGTATGTCTCCATAATTGAAACTGTAGTCCAAGATTCACATTCCTCCTCTCCTCCATCTACTATAATTGAAACTGTATGTCTCCATGTTACTAGTTGCGACAATCAATTCATTACAATATGGACACAGGACATTGGACACAATATGGGCATGCCAACATGATAATTAACACAAAAACAAAAAACAAAAAAACAAAACAAAACAAAAACACCGTCACCTCCACCACTAGAAACTGTATGTGTTTTAGAAACTAATCCACCCATTTCTAACATCTTTCCATAGTCGAATCCCATAAACAATATATTATTATGTCCATCAATTGAGGTCCAGCCACCATTATCTTCACCATATATTATTTTTTTATTTTTTTTTATAAGTAATACATAATATTTGCATTGTCTAGTTATTATTACTTTTCAAAAATGATATTTCTCAAATATGAATCTCTCAACCATTACACTAGCGAAGTCTAATGGAACTTTCCAAGTTTTAGATCTCCAAGATGAGGCCTAAAGAAGGGAGCAAACCTATGAAGCACTGACACTTCAAAACAAGTGTCATATTCGTGTCAGGCACACGGACACTTCGGGGTAGGGCTACAAACGAACTGAGTCGAGCCGAGCTTTGTTGAGCTCGAGCTTGACTCGTTTACTTATCGAGCTCGTTTATTGGGCTCGAGCTGAGCTCGGCTCGACTTGACTCGTTAATATTAATAAAACTCGAGCTTTGTTCGATAATTTTTTTTTAATATTATTTATATTATTTAAATAAAAATATTGAAATAAAAAATATTATTTATATATTTATATATTTTTTAATATATAAATAATATATTTATTATATAATTTAAATAAAGATACACAAGCCGAGCTTATGCAAGCTCGAGCTCAAGCTTGGCTCATTTACTAAACAAACCGAGCCAAGCCGAGTCGAGCCCTTAACAATCCGAGCCGAGCTTGTTCATGAACAGCTCGGTTCATTTGCAGACCTACTTTGGGGACACATGGACACCCCAAGGACACGTATAGGACACACCATGGTGTGTCCTATTATTTAATTAATTTATTTTTAGAGGACACACTAGGGACATGCTAAGTTGTCTTTTTTCCCATTTTATTTAGTTCTTTTGATGAATATTGAATATTTATTGTTTTTTTTCTTAAATTTAAATATTTAATAAATGATCCATAAAAAGATATAAACTGTAAGTATTAATTTACAAGTGTTTAAAAAAATATAATTAGAGTTAGTTTTTGTTAATGTTGATTGTTTGTGTATGTAATATTAATCTAAATAACAAACAAAAATATACGAAAACATCTTTTATTGTTGTGTTCCTACTGTGTCCGTGTCTCTATTTTTTTTGAAATCGCCGTGTCCCGTGTCCATATCCGTGTCCGTGTCCACATCTATATCTGTGTCCGTGCTTCTTAGGAGCAAACACTAGCCAATCAACCAAATTATACATTGACTCCAGCATTCCTCTATAATTTTCCAACCTTTTAGCCAGGTAAAGAGAGACAATAAGGTGCAAAAACTTGATTGTGCTGCTCTTTGCATAATCAAATCTTAGATCAATTATCAATTATCCATCCGCAAGAAAAACATTTATCTAATAACCAATATAAACTAATAGCTCCAAATATATGAAAACATCTTTTATTGTTATGTTCCCGCCGTGTCCGTGTCTCAATTTTTTTGAAATCGCCGTGTCCCGTGTCCATATCCGTGTCCGTGTCCGTATCCACATCTATATCCGTGTCCGTACTTATTAGGAGCAAACACTAGCCAATCAACCAAATTAACCATTGACTCCAGCATTCCTCTAGAATTTTCCAACCTTTTAGCCAGGTAAAGAGAGACAATAAGGTGCAAAAATTTGATTGTGTTGCTCTTTGCAGAATCAAATCTTAGATCAATTATCAATTATCCATCCGCAAGAAAAGCATTTATCTAATAACCAATATAAACTAATAGCTCCAATTGAGCATACCATTAGAAGAAGATGAAAGCCAACCTATGAAGCACAGGTAAGGGTACGAGTACTGGTACTGGTATGATACGGGTACGTCGATACGGTAAAATTCAAAAAAAATAGGGTACGGGTACGGCTTGGTACACTTGTAAAAAAATATTTATTTTTAATTTAGAGTAATGCAAAGATTAATTAAATGATTTAATTTGTTAAGGTCCAACCTATAATTAACATTTAATACCAAAAGGAAAAGTATAAATCAAAATTAAATGTCAATATATTAAATAACTTACAAACCATAGTTTAATTTTAAAATCATGCTAAGCATAAAACAAAAACTAAAAAAGAAATCTGGTGAAATGAGTTTTATCTTTGTAGTAGAAGGAAAATATTGTTTAAACTGAGGTACGGTACGGCTTGGATATATACTAGGTACGTCTGGATACGTCAAAAATTAAGAAGAAAAAACTTGGGTACGTGTTTCGTGTACCCGGTACGTATGCAGAAGTACCATACGAGGTACGGTACGCCGGTAAGTACCCGGTACGGGTACGGCATATTTTTCGAAGTACCCATGCTTCATAGAAGCCAACCATACCATAATCATCCTTGAAACCTAAAGCCTCATTCCATTTTCTTGTTTGAGTTTAACAATCTTCTAACCTTCTATTTCTTTTGTTATATATGTCTCTCTCTAATTTGGTATTTTTTGGAACCTAGAGATGGGAAGTGGGTGTTTACTTTTTGAAAACTAACCGTGGTGGTCTCCATCCTTCAAATAGGGACATCCAAGGACAATGTTTGAGCTAGTAGCTGACTGTGTTTTAAAAGGCATGCTTAGGCGCGTGCCTAAGCACCTAAGCGCAATGCACAATGAGGCGCAACATTGCACTTCGAATCGAACAGGTTGAGACGAGGTGCAATACACAAGGCACAGCTTAGGCGCTAAAGCGTGAGCCTTTTTTTGAGGCGTGAGGTGTGGGCTTCATGGGCTTTATCTATTTTTCTACTCCACTGTTGATTAAGTGCTTTTTATTTCTTTTTTGAACTGCACACTAGAAACTTAGTTGTTTTAAACTTTATGTGGATGATCTTAAAACTTGAGGTTTTTTGTGGATGTAGATGTGAATGTGAATGTGATACTTTATATCTTTTCTTGGATATTATATTTATAATTTTTAGAAGATTGAATGTTATGTTTATCAATTATTTAAAATGGTGAAACTTGCTTTATTATTTTTGGAATTCTATACATATTTGTTATGTTGAAAAGTTTGCCTATTTTATAATTTTGCTTTTCTTCTACTACTTGCACCTCGCTTTGGTGAGGCGCGCGCCTTGCCTCATTCTTCGCACTTAGGAAATAGAAGACCTTATCACCTCAGTGTGCTTAGAGCCTTTTCAAACACTGGTGGCTGGTGATGAAATCAAACAACTATGTTCAAGAAGGCTTGCCAAAATGCATGCTTTTCTCATAGGTTTCCAAAACATTTTATTCCATTTCATGATGAGTTTATGACAAACATATTCTCTCTCTCCCTTTCCCTTAATCTACTAAACATCTTACATGTAGTTAGAAATGTTAGCCGTTCGTAGGTCACCAAAGTCAGCCATGTATCCTGAGCTCAGTTGGATTTTTTCTATATTCTCTCTATTTCTTACCATTATATTTTCCAGAAGATCGTTGATCATCTCCAAGTTGCCCAAGTATTGAAACAAATTAATTCAAATACTTTGATTTCCAGCAGTCAAAGTAAACATGTGTCAAGCTTTCATTGACAAAAGGATTATTAAATTTCTTCTATCTCTTACCAGTAACTAAAGGATTATTAAATTCCAAATACCCCTATATAGCAATGCTTGTAGATGCAAATGTGGTAAGTCTTTGTATGTAAAGAAAAAGAATTGTGCCATTTCTTTTACATAAACATGGGATTTTATTAAATTTCAAATAACCCTAAACTTGGAATATATAGCTATGCTTCTAGATACAAATGTCATAAGTCTATGCATGTAAGGCAAAAGAATTGTGTTTTTTTTTTTTTTTTTTACATAATCATGGGATTTTATTAAATTTCAAATAACCCTGAACTTGAAAACTACAGCTATGCTCTTCGAGATGGAAATGTCATAAGTTTTTTAATGTAAAGCAAAAGAACTGTGGCATTTCGTTTTTGTTTTTTTGTAATGTTGGTGATTGGTTTAGACTAGTTACAATTAAAATTCCGACATATGGACCAAATAACAAGATTAAAATAACAAAATTGAGAGGTAGAAGGATACATTCAAATCATAAAGACAACAAATCAACAAGGAATGATAAACTGTATGCTATGCTCTTCGAGATGGAAATGTCAAAAGTTTTTTAATGTAAAGCAAAAGAACTGTGGCATTTTGTTTTTGTTTTTTTGTAATGTTGGTGATTGGTTTAGACTAGTTACAATTAAAATTCCGACATATGGACCAAATAACAAGATTAAAATAACAAAATTGAGAGGTAGAAGGATACATTCAAATCATAAAGACAACAAATCAACAAGGAATGATAAACTGTATCATAATCATGAAAAGTAAAGTAACAGAAGATGACACAAATACTTGAATCAAAGTGATAAAAACATAGATATAATAGAGAGGAAGTGGGACCTGGAAGATATTGGAGAGATGAGAAGGTTGAAGATTGAGATTTGAATTGGGAAGAGAGGAGGAAGGGGCTGTTGATGATGATGAGGATGAAGGCGAGAGCGGGGAGTCGACCTTGATGTGGTTGTGGTGGTCCTCAGAATCGCCTTCTCCGACATCACTCAGCAGATCGCCGATGCACAGTAGCGGCCCTCCGATTCCCTTCATCTCTCTCTCTCCCTCTCCTGTAAAAATCGTCTTCTTTCTTTCCCTCTTTCTCTCTGAGGGTAAGAAACCCTTTTTGTTTTTTAATTATAAATTTGTTTAAAATACAAATTGTCTAATATAATTTAAAAAATTATAAATATTCTTCTATTAAATTTTTTTATTTAACAAAATTAATTAAAAAAATGAAATTCATAATTGCTCTACTATACAATAATAAAATTATCTGAAATTATTAAATAGTGTTTTGAAAAATTGGTAAAAAGTTGATTTTTTAACTTTTCAGCGACTTTTTTGACCAAAAAATTGACTTCTTTGACTAAAAAAACTAAAAAGTCAAAAAATTGATTTTTTTAACCTCTTCCCAAAGTGCCCTTAATTGAAACGTATTTTTAACATCATTAAAAATAGTTAATTAACTTGATGATTTATTGATAAAATGGACGATTTGTTATAAAATTAGAAATCTCAAGTAATTGAATGTAATTTTCAAAACCACACGGGCGATTCATGTTTTAATCAAACTCAGAGGGTATATTTGTAATTTACCCTTTTTTTGTGCCAAATTACAAATGCAGATTTATTTAAAATACAGATTGTCTTTTTGGTTTGAAAAATTATAAATATTCTTTTAAAATATAGATTATCTTTTGTGATTTAAAAAATTATAAATATTCCTTTATTAGAATTTTTTTTAAGAGAATTAATTAAAAAAATAAAATTCTAACTGTTTTTCTATACAATAATAAAATTATTATTGACATAAATTTTTAATATCATTAAAAATTATTAATTAATTTGATAATTTATTAATAAAAAAAAAGTCATTTGTTATTAAATTATAAATCTCAGGAAACAGGATGTAATAATTTGTATTAATAAATCAAGCCAATTGATAATTTTTAATGATAAATAGTTAGAAATTTCATTATTAATTTTGTTAAATAAAAAATTTTAACAAGAAAATTTATAATTTTTAGCAATATAAAAAATAATTTATATTTTAAACAAACATCACAGAGCATAATTATAATTTATTTATTTTTAATTCCTATCCCTACCCAATATCAGACTCAAAAATCCATTTCAAATTTAACCATAAATTTGTATTCCAATCCACACGCTCTTATAAAATAAAAATCAACAACATCAATATATATATCTTATAAAATAAAAAAATCAGTAACGTTTTACTTAAGTTACCATAAACATTCCATTTTTATTCATTATATTAATTGAATTCATTATATCCTAAGTCCAGAGCTTGGTGGGTGTATTTTCAACTTAAATTTAAAAAAATAAAATAAAACTAAATAAATTGCATATAAAGATTTATTAAAATTTATATTAATAATTGGACCGGGCGGGTTGAACTTGAGGACAATTCAAAAGCCCAATTCATATAATAAATAGGCCTAACAGTTCTGTCAAGCCCAATCAATTATAAATTCTAAGGCTTGATTGAGCGGACCACAGCATTAGAGTGGGCCATTTTATTTAAACCCAAAAATTATCTTAGTAAACCTGATTTAAATTTTAAAATTTTAAATTATATTATATTTTAATGTGAATTTATTAATAAAGGCAATACATATTAAATCTTAAAATAAAATAAAAAAATATCATGATACACCCTAATCAATTATACATATTTTTCCTATTTCCTCCCCAAGTTTCAATTATTTTCTTTTCTTCTTCTTCATTATTCCAATACTCCAATTCACCCCATTAAAACTCACCATTATCATTAATATTATTATTTTTTATTATATTGTTACTTGCAAATAGAATAAAGTTTGAATAAAATCAAACAATAAATACGAGTAATAATCAAAATAATTTTTTGAAGCAACCCATCAAAGAAGATTATTCACATAAACATCAAAGTATAATTATTGATGTTTGTATTTTGTTTTCACATAAAAGCAAATATTCAACTTGTTTTTCATCATTATTGTTCAGACTTTCAGAACCGAATAAATTCACTTTGTTTGGTTATTTCAGTTTTGGAAATCTGAACACGAAGTTCACCATCTCCTCCCTCCTTCACCGTTCTCCTTATCCGGTGCCTCTTTTGTCGGTGTCAGTTCCTTCTTCATATTTCTTGTATGTTATGTGCAAAAGAAAAAAAAAATTCAAAAGAATTTTTTAATTTATTTTATTTGAGTGCACTTCAAAAGGGTAATTTGAAAAAAATAATAGAATAATATAGTGAGAATAAATTATAATACTAAATAATTTAATAAATTGTGCTAAAAAATTAAGGTCACTTAAACATTTTTTTTTTTTTAAAGTGTAAATAGAATTCCCCAGAAACTATCGTTATTGCCACTCCGCTTTAGTTCTTTTAAGACTTGAGAGAAAAGTTGTATCGCTATATCCCATTTTCTCTAGTTCAAAAAAACAAATAAATCCCATTCTCAACTTTTCCACTTGTACGGGAGCGAAATATCCTCTGCTTTCCGTACTCCTTGTACTCCAAGCTTCTCTTGACGGCGTCTACCTGGCAACACAGAAACGGTGAGCTGCCCGGCGGTGGTGTGCCGGATAGACCCTCCGACGATCAAGTCAGTCCACTTGAGGAAGAAGAAGACTGTTAGAGAGAGAGTATTCTCTTTGGGGAAGAAGTTGCATACCTCTAACGTTCGCCTTCCTCCATTATTTCTAGGCTGGCCATGCAGCCCCAAGATCGTGCGCGCACCACCTCTGTTGTCCTTCCCTGGATAGGTGGCAGTGCTTGCCTCTCACCACCTTGCGCGTGTAAAGATTTTGTCCTCCAACCAGCACATGCAGAACTACCAAACGGTATTGGTGCGTGCGTGAAGTAGATGTCCTCTCCCTCATGCCATTGGCCCAGGTGGCACACTTAACCGGAATACCACGACCGGCCGGTTCCTTGTGGAGGCAATTCTCCACAAGCACACAACCGAGCTAATAAACGTCGACCCGCCACTTGGCAAAGGAGCCAAAGTGTTATGCTTATGACCAGGCTATTTATGATCGGTCCCACCTGACTGACCGGCCATGAAGCACGCTGGACTTCCACCGTTCTTCATTCTTGATCACATGAAGCCCGTCCATCTCGGCCGATCTGTTAGGCGCATGCCGGCGCTAATCGCATCTCAAGTCTAGTCCGGACTTCTCTTAGCTTGGTCATCAGACACCGCTGTGCGCTCGGCCGCGTCATAGCTCGGCCAGGCATTGGTTTGTGTCTGGTCGGTCGACCTCTCCGGCCGTGTAAGTCAGGCCGCTGGGCCGTGTAAGAAAGGAGTCTGCTCAGCGCCGTGCGGTTCGTCATGATCGGCGTTATCGTAGCTCGGCTGTACTAACGTGCAAATCTCCCCTCTCAATTGCCCCTTAGCCCCATCCGACCTAGTCGTGATTGGGGTTACCATCGTGACTGAGCTAACGGATGAGTTGCGCCATTACCAAGGCGAGCGCGATTGAGGGCATACCTGTCGCCAAGTTGTTCCATTTGGTCGGCCATTTCCTTGGCAGTCTCATCAAAGGTCGTACAGCCGTACTGACAGCCGCGTTCCCAGTGCCACGTGGCTTCACGCCATTGGGTCGTGCAGCCAGCTGTTCTGCACGCGCAGAATTCAAATGGCTGCGCCGTTTGGGTTTTTCCCCCCTCTTTATGTACAGCCCAAGAGTCATTCGAACCCATCATTGTCCATTCTCTCCTCCAAACAGACCCTGAACCTCCGAAACCTTCGAACCTCCGAGATCACCGCCATTACTGTCTCTGTGCTACATCCTCCATTTCAGTTCCTTTCGAAGGCTGCAATCGAGCTCTCGAGGTTGCGTTCACCCTCGCATCTGCCCCCCTGGTAAGTTACACTACCCTCCCTTGCATTATCTGTTTCTATTTTTCAAAAAAAAATTTATACTTGTTCTTCATTTCCGTGCCACTGTGCTTCGTGTTTTTTTTTTTTTTTTGTTTGTGACCACCAGTGCCCCCTTTTTTTGCTTAGAACCTGCACCCTAGGGCAAATGGGAACTTTGAGAATGGAAGGGGCCTCCGAGCCGCCGTTCCTCCTTGGTTCAAACGAGTTCGCTCCATTTCTGCGATGAACAGTTTGAATCTGGGTAGAACCGAGCTAAACGCTCATTTAGATCAGTAGGTAGGGCTATAGCCGATCAAAAACTGGTTTGTGGCTTCTTACTAAGGTCGCAACCGAGCTGAATACTCTAATTAGATTGGTAAATAGGAACGCACCGAGCTGTAACTTGAGGTCTCCACGTCAAAGAGTAACCGAGCTGAATGCCCCATTAGAACTACAAATAGGAATGAACAGAGCTATGAAATCGACCAAGTAGTCTAGCCGAGATAGGGGTCAGGCCGGTAAAACACCAAAAATCCTTCACTGAGCTATTTCCAATAGGAGCCGTGGAATTTATGTCGCGCTAACCCTTGGCCTCATTTTTTAACAATGCAGAACAAACTAGGACCGATCAGTTCAGTCAAGAACCATCACTGGTGGAGCTCAAAGACCGAGCAAATACACCAAACATTTTTGTCCGAGATACAAGTTAGTTCACCAAATAAAACCGAGATAGATGGGCAAATACCGATTCATGGTGAGCTCGCCCGGTGCGATGACCGAGTTTCGTAGGGAGTATAACATCCCAGATGACGTCGTCTTAGAGCTCGCCAAAAAGGGAGACACCCCTTGGGGGGATCTAGACCGGTGCCCCTTCACCGTCGTATCAATAGTAGAAGGAGGGCTCCGCTTCCCGGTTCAACCCTTGATCTGCGAATTTTTGAGGTAGACAAGGCTTTGCCCGACCCAAGTTTCAAATAACACTTACAAAATAATAAACGGGGTCGCGCCAGCTGAACCGGAGGCTCGGTCTCAATCTCATTCTGGCCGAAATTTTCCATCAATATAGTCTAAGTAGAAATAAGAGTGGGCTTTGCTGGTACCTCAAAGTCAAGAAAGGCCGAGCAAAGCTAATAGAGGGCAACCCGGACAAGGAGACCAACGACGACGACTTCTGGTGGGTGTCCGGTCGCTATGAGGACACTGAGGCACCCATATCGGGATGGTATATTAGAAAGGATTTTGGCAGT